TGGGACTTGGTGTTTATGAGTACAGACCCAGGAGTCGGAAAAACTGGACTCAAGGCCAACTCCAGCACTTGCTCCCTGTAAATGATCAGTCCTTTCTGGAACTCAGTTTGCCCATCTGTAAAACCGAGGCAATAAAATGGAATCATCATCTCAGAGGATCCATGTGAAGCTGAGATGTGGTTAAACACATGAAATGCTTACCCTGGTGCCTGGCACAGAGCAAATTCTCAATAGAAATTTGTTAATCCTGGTCAAATTCTGTCCATTGGCCGGGAGTCCCAGTCCGGCCAGAGAAGCTTGTTCTTGGCAGAGAGGTGGAAGGGTAGCTGACTACAGTCTACGCCCCCCACCCCCCACCTCTCCTCTCACCCCCCTGGGTGGCGAGGCACACACCACATTCACATGCTCATCCTCAGAAGCTGACATACACCTTCCCCACCACTCCTCAGCCAGCTAGTGGCAACCAGCAACCAGAAATGTGCAGCTCCATGTAGGGACTTCCGTCAGCCAAGTCAACGTGTCAACAGAAAACTCATAGCCCCAACACTGTGAGAGGGAAGGAGGAAGGGAGGAGGAAGGCCTGATTCAGAAGCTAAATGCCTTCTTTCTTAGAACACAGGAGTGTGGCAGAATTCAAGCCAAGACATCTGACCTGTAAGAGGGCTCCCTTTTGGGAACCCTTATGCTCAAGATTTAGGCCTCTGACCTGCTAGGAACATGATCAGCATCATGGCGGAGAGAGTACAGGCTCTACATCCAGGCAGCCATGAGCTCCGGTTTCGGCCTTGGCGCTCCCTGGCCATGTGACTATGTGAACAAGGACATCAGTTAAATGAGGGTACCTGAGATAATGTGTGTTCAGCATAGTCTGCATCCCAGTGCCTGGGACCTCTGGCGTAATGACAGAGGAATCTGGAATTTGGAGACATAGTTGCTTACACCTGATATGAGGATGAGACCTTGCTTCTCATAATCACTGCCTGCCAGAGGCCTTGATTTCTGCTTAGGCAGAAGTGGTTTTAACTAGGCTCACAGCCTCCCTACACTCCTTGCCCGTGGCTTCTTGGTGAGCTCTTCTCCATACCTCTTTAGACAGCTCCTCTGTCTTCCTTTGTAGGGGGATTCTGTGTTTCTCCACAATGGTGGTCCGGTCTCTTCCCTGGTCCAGTTACAGCCCACCCTCCTCACTCCAAGAAGCTGGATATCCCATCCCTGCATCTCAAGGGGGACCAGGACTGGTGACAGAAGACTCACCAGTCACTCATGGCATTCCCTAAGAAGCTTTTAGTTAGTGCTCTTTACAACTCCCTTCGAATCCTATTTATGAGTGACCAGTCTCCCAAAAGCAAGAATGCCAGCCCAAGGAAGCAGGAATGTGGATTTGAAAAACAGAAGAAGAAAAGAAATGTGTTTCTGTGCTCAGGGAAGCTCTCTGCACAACGCAGCTCAACTTCCTACTCCTGCATTGCCATCTGGTTGCTATGGGCAACCAGGCAATCATATTTTTCTAGTCCTAGATATAATCATCATAATCAATATAGGGTATTTATCCCACTTCTTGGTTCCAAAGAACTCAAAGATTTTCACATCTATTATTCTTTCTTCACTAACCTGAGGGAGAGAAGGGAAGAAGGTCTGCTTGTTGATGGGCTGTGGAGAAGGACTATTTAACAGATGGAAAAACTGAGGGAATGGGTAAGAAGGGAGCTGTGGGAACTTCTTATAAGAAAACAGGATTGTTAAAAGCAGTCTGCATTTGAATAGTGTGTTCACTTTTATCCTCTCATCTAATTTTTACAAGATCCCTCTGAAGTAGGCTCATTTCATTTATCGTACAGACAAAGCCCCCAAAGAATAAAGGATCTTTCCAAAAACACACCACTAGAAATGACATTGCCTAAAGTGAAATCTGAGGCTTTTGAGTCCCTTTTAGTATTTTTTCCATAGCATCTCTGCCAACAAGTACAGTACACTGTTTGAGCTATCATGTCTCTTGTATGACTACCATCCCACCGTTCTAAGTGTTTCTCATTCTGCTGACATTGTGCATCACAGTGGCTCTTACACATGTGATGTTTCTGTCTAGTTTCAGTTGATATCCACACCAAACTGGCAACAGGGTCAACAAAAATGGCTAGATTGGTCAGGCGCGGTGGCTCACACCTAATCCCAGCACTTTGGGAGGCAAAGGCGGGCACATCTCCTAAGGTCAGGAGATTGAGACCAGCCTGGCCAACATGGTGAAACTCGGTCTCTTCTAAAAATACAAACATTAGCTGGGTGTGGTGGTGTTCACCTGTAATCCAGCTATTCGGGAGGCTGAGGCAGGAGAATCACTTGAAATTGGGAGGCGGAGATTGCAGTGAGCCAAGATCACACCACTGCACTCCAGCCTAATGGAGTGGAGACTCCACCTCAAAAATAAAAAAATAAAAATAAAAGATTTGATTAAAGCACTTGATGGGTTAGAAAACTTAGAAGCTATATTTAATTTCCAAAGTTATATGAATGTTCCTTTACTAGAATAAAATTTTGGGGGGGAAAAATCATTATTTTTGACTTTGAGATCATTCACGACTTGTGACAATTCTGTGACGTTACCTGTTCCTACAGCCACTGGTTTGATGTCACCTTTTTGTCATAGTAACAGAGCGATACCAAAAACATGCTTTGGGGGCCCCTAAGGTGGACAGGAAGCTTTCCACCCTACGCACCGGGCAAAGGTTTCAGTGTGCCCTTGCTCATTAGTGCTAAACACGGGAGGCTGGAGGTAAGACACTCAGTGAAACACAACTGCAAGAGAAAACATGTGACCACAGGCCACGGCAGAACTTTGTAAAATACCATGTTTTTCTGAGTTTTGTGCTTAGTGTTCATTTCCCTTTGGTGAGAGCACAAAAACCCCTGAAAAGAAGAGAGTGGCTGGCTTGTGTACAAAGCTTCCTCTCTGTTCTCAGAACAGAGAATAAACTGGACACCATCTTATCTTCTGTCATTTTCTACTTAGAGAGGTACACAATTTACCACTTAAAGGAGAAGCCCCAAACAGAAGACTTGACCTGTGATCCTGAGACCTACAGAACAAGGAGATAACAGGACTCAGGTCAGCCCTGACTTCCTCACCTCATCTGGTGCCTCTTGGAATCCTTCAGAACCACCATATTGGAAAATTCTCTCCATACCCTCATTTCATCCAGTTGAGTAGGCAGAGGAGGAAAATCAGAAACAAAAAAGCCTAACATGCTAAGGACTCACAGAAGGGAAAGCTGATGACCCCAATCCCTAGAGATGGATGACCGGTGTCAGCCCATCAGTGAAAGCATATTCAGTACCTACGAGGTGCAATTACTATGCAACTGCTCCAAGCTGGGCCTTGAAACCAGTCTGGCCTTCCCACCACTGTGCAGCCTTGCCCAACTCCAAGGGCACTTCCCACCTTCAGTTGCCCTCCCTTTCTGTTCCTATTTCCTCAGTTTTTGACATTTTTGCTTTTGTCTCTCCTTCTCTATCCCCAGTGCCCTCACTGGCATCAGATTTTGGCCCTCCAGGCATAGGCTTTCTTTATTTATTATACTTTAAGTTCTGGGGACCATGTACAGATCATGCAGGTCAGTTACATAGGTATTACACATGCCATCGTGGCGGTTTGCTGCATCCATCACCCGTCATCTACATTAGATATTTCTCCTGATGCTATCCCTCCCCAATCTCTCCACCCCCTGCTATTCCTCCCCTAGCCCCCCACCCCCCAGACCCCGCTGTGTGATGTTCCCCTCCCTGTGTCTGTGTGCTCTCATTGTTTAGCACCCACTTATGAGTGAGAACATCCAGCACTGGCTTTCAAAGCTCTCTCTTGGCCAAAGTATGCACCCAGCTCCTGGTTCCATGGATTTCTAGCCACCATAGGGTACACTCATTGCTGTCCCTGGGGCCCAGCTCACCTTACCCATCTTGGTTGGCATCTCTGCCTGTCCCAGCTGCCCACGGTGGGAGGCAAGGAGGGAGGAGAGATAGGTAAACACTCTGTGCATACTATACTGCCTCTCCCCAATGTTTAGCAAAATTCAAACTTAGAAGTTCAGATTCCCTCAAGACACAAATCACTTTGTGGCTCTTGTTAAGTCAAGCTGTTTCAAGTCTGTCTTAAAGTAGATTCCCAACTATAACTATTTCTTTTCTTTGTGTAATACTTGCTTCTTTCCAAGGAGCTTGCCGTCTGCTATCTCTTTTTAGCCACATAACATCCTTGGGATGAATGCAGTCAGATCAAAGAACAAGAATCCCTTTTTGCCTCACTTAGGGACACCGAGGCACACAGCCCATGAATGATGTTATCCTGAGTGTAAGCTTTGCAGTGTATCCTGAATGGTAAGCTTTGCTTTGCTCTGACCACCTTCAGCCGTATAAGCTGGCACGGCCTTGATGGGTACAGGTGCAGGGAGTTAGAGGGTTAGTCTCTTGTATGGATGAAACATTAGCCTTGTTGATGGTGCTTACCAAAGTCCCCACTCTAATGTTTTTCGCCCAGGATGAGGAACCCAAGTCCAGAGGCTCAACACCATCTTTCCAGGTCTCTGGTCTAGGGCCACGCTGGGAAGAGACAGGGCTGAGATCTAAGTTCCCAGCCTGCTCCGTCTCTCCCCAGCCCTTCTTTACGCATAAAGGACACTTGTTGGGGCATCAGTCTGTGCTTCTGGCATCTGGACAATCAGCCTATACCTCTGCAACTCAAGCAGGAAGTACGTGTGCCTTGCCTTGGGCTTCCAGGCCACACAGACCCACATCCTCATTTAGAACGGTCGCATCGTGGAGCCAGCTGAGATCTGCAGTCTTCACTCTCGGCTGTGGGTCCACAAACTCCTACTGAACATGTACCCATAGCCCCAGGGAAAAAGAAAGAAAAAAACAAGAGAGGAAAGAAAATAACCAAGATGGGGAGAGGGGAGAGATTCTGGAATCCAGACAACATCAAGAGCCTGTTTCCATGACAACCACTCCTTAATACAGTTGCTCAGACTGCAGCTTGTTCTAATCAGCCCCATGGATGGAGCCTGCAGACCCAGAAATGGCCTCCAGCCAGGGGGCTCCCCAGCAGCCTGCAGACCACCACCATCCTCCAACCACCCAACCTCCTACGAAGAGAACAGACAGCAAAGGAGGGGTCAGGGCTCACACGGGAGGTGAGAAAGAAGAATGAGGAGTGTTGAAGAAAGTGGAAAGTGAAAGGAAGGAGTCAGAGATGCAGCCGGACATTCAGGGAGTTGTCTGCAGATGTTTGCTGGGGCCACTTGTGCTCAGTGACACTTGTCTTTGTGCTGGTGAGCCTCTGAGCACCCACGTGATGCATTATAGCCTGTGGCCAGCGTGTGAGTGTGACCATCCATGGCACATCCACCGAGCTCATCTCCCTTCCCCTTCCTACACCCTGGAGTGCCCTCTTCCCCTCTTCTCTCTTCCCCTACAAAGCTCTAAGCTAAAGTCCAAGGACAACCCCTGTGAGGCAAAGGCCAGGGTTATTGCCCAGCCCGAAGTAGGTACCAGCAGCTTCCAACCATTTCTCAGTAAGTCGTTGGGATGGAGAGAAAAACTGTACTAATATTCTCTAAATTAGAGGTCTCTGGCTTAGGGACACTCCCTGTCCTGCTCCCCACAGACTTCTCAAGTTCCCAGAAAATGATGGGTGACTTCTAGGTTTTCTTCCAATCCACATATGAGGCCTCAAGAGGCTGGCAACTTGTCAAAGTCACCTGCTGGGTCAGGTGTCAGCCTGGAGACTGTCCCTGGAAAACCACACATCTCCCCACACACTCCAGGCTGCACTCTCCTTCTTCCTGTATTCATCTGGCAATCACCCAAACACGCTGCAAATCAGATGACATATGACACGCTGCACACTCCGTCCCACTCTGAAGGGAGTCTGTCTATGGGGACAACGGGTCTGGTTTGTATTTTAAGCAGCTAGAGTGAAAAAGAAGGATGAGGTAAGGCCATGGCAACGAGCACCATGCCACTAGCCAGGATAATTACTTGGCCCAGCCATCCTGGAGCCAGGCGGCGGAAGGCTTGCCCATAGATTATGAGCAATGAGACAGAGCCAGCCGGCTTAGGAACTCCCTTCCTCCACCTGCACCTTCAACTGCAAGTGGAAACACAGCAGAAGGAGCCAATGCGGTGGGAGACCCCAATCAAAACAAGATGACCTGTGCCTCAATTTCAAATCACTGGAGAAATCCAAAGAAAAGTCCCTATGTGCACCCCTCCTCCTCGTTGATACATGCAAAATCAGGGCTCTGAATTTCCTTTGATGGCTGCTGAGCCAAGAGACAAGGAAGACCCGAAATCAGCACAGGACAGAGACAGTGAAAAGGTCAGTGAGCGACAGAGGGGAAAGGAGAAGCTGAAAGATGTTTGCCACAAGCTAGGAATGACTTATTAAATCCCCGGCCCCTCCCCCAAGCTGGGATGCAGTGCCTTTAGTGGCTTCACAGCTGCTGTACCCCACCTGATGCAGGCTGCTTCAGGGATCGAGGATACTTGGACTACTGGCCAGCTCAGATGCCACCTCTGCAGGAGCACCTGGAGTCGTCTGACTTGGCTATGACTGGGCTTCCCCACTGCAATGCCCTACAGAGGCTCCATGGCTACATACACATGCCTTGCTCAGGGATCATGCCCATGTTGACCTTGGCCCCATAAACATGAATGGGAAGGAGCATGCCCAGGGAGCATCCTTAGATTTTCTTTTCCTTTGTTCCCGGAGTCCTCAGATAAAAATGGCTACAAGCTGAAGCTCTGGAGAACAAAATCCAACTCAGGTGCCTCACCAACTAATACAGGGCATCCACTTCACTCTCCAAAGAGAATCAGAAGTGCAATAGTCAGAACAGGGTGCATAGAAGGACCCTGAAAAGTCCAGACCTGTGCCAGCTGCCTCCCATCGTGGCCCTAAGTGCAAAGTATCGGAGGAAACTGACTCCTGAGGGGCAGAAATCTAGCAGGGAGGGATGAGACCACACATGTGTGTGCATGTTTACATGTAATCATGTGCACACACACAGACACACACACTCTCACAAATGAAACTGTGATCACGGGTGACGTGTGGGTGTATGTGTGAGAGCTGGGGGTTGTGCATGTGACTATGTGAAGCTGAAGATCACAAATGGAAAGAGTGCTGCGTCGGAGGAAAAAAGAAAACAAGGAAAAACAGAAAAAGTCACCAGCCCAGTACCCACTGCACCAAGCGATCCTTAGCCCATTGTGCTCTCGTGGGCCTCTTCAGACTCTCCTATTTTCAGCAAAACTCTCCCTTGTTTCTCCTACCCCAGGTTGGCCCCAGACCACTAAATACACACCACCTGGAGATATAGGAAAACCCAGAGGTGGGGACCACAGCAACATGAGCACATACTGCAAACTGTCAGAAGCAGGAGGGCCACGTGATTGCAGAGGACAAGCCCACCTGATTCCCTCCACATTAAGTGGAAACCACTGTCTCCACTGAGAAAGAAAGGTGAAGCATTGGGAGGAGTGAAAGGTGAAATTAACTTGAGCGGAGATTACACTCATGAGTTCTGTGGAGGCCAGGGCGGAAGGAAAGCCAAGACGGGGGCAGGGCAGGAACTGCATCCAGTGTGTGGCTGTGGTTCTGAGAGGATGGAGCTTTTGAGAAGCACGTCTCTGTCACACCCTATGAAGGAAAACCTCAGCATGACTTACAGGTGCACAAGCACATGCGTGGGTTTGCACACAGCATGCAAAAAGCATGTTTATAAATTGGGTTCAATGGTGGTCAGGACCAAAAATTCTGGCTAAAACAGCTTTAGAGTATATGACCACTTAGAATTTCAATGTCCTCATCTATGAGGTGGAGATAACATTAAGTAACTATCATAGGGTTGCTTTGATGATATCATCCATGATAGAGCATGGGACACAGTGCCAGGCATGTAATAAATGCTCAATAAATACTAATTTGGTCTATTATTATTTGACAGTCCCCCATGATCTCAGGTCTAAATTGACATAGCAAAAACAGGGAAGGTAGATACATAACATTATCATTTGCAACAGAGGTATAGTTTATATTGCCCAGTTAAACATGAAACTGCTAACTTCTCAACCACACACTGAATATCAACACAGTATGATCATTCTAACTGGATAATCTCAGTATTAGCCTAACATATATTTAAAAGTATCATATCATGTCAGGGTAAAGCAAGGACTTTGATATTAGACTATGGAAGTATTCTATTTTTGCCACTTGCTGGCAATTAGACTGGCTTAACCTAATGCCCTGCACATATTAACACCTCAACAGCTGTTTTAAAATATTACAGTTCTGTAGAGTTTTAGATGTGCTTGGTATTGACAATTCTACTTGGTCTAATGGTCTTTTTTTTTTTTTTAATTATCCTTATAGCTAATTGTCAACATATCAAAACAAAAAGATTTGTTCCATACCGACTGCCCACTGCTCGACAGTAAGTCAGTGATGTACTCTCACAGGTTTATATGAAACACGTGGACATATTCATTCATCAACCCACATTGAGATGAACTGTCACATCCCATTTAAACTCCATCCCAGGCAGCAAGTATTAACCGGCAATTATTACCGTGTATAACGTGCTTTACAATTGGCAAGAACGTCAGCGGTCCCTGGTTCATTCAGCATCCCTGGTATCATTCACAAACTGCAGTTCTCATTTTTTTCCCCCTCAAGCCTGGAGGGAATTGAGAAGCAGAAAATAGTCTCAGCCAGATCCAGCTGCCCTGACACTCACAGCACAGCTGGCAGGTGCTGGAGCTTCAGACACATGGCCCACAGGTGCAGCAAGCTCACCTTGCTCATGCTCTGCAACCACAGAGGCTTGCCCCGGCCAATGAAGCCATCCCCAGGGGCCTCTGAAAATTCTCCAGGCTGTCTGCAAACTGATCTCTCAGAATGTATGGCTATCTACACATTAGAATACATGAATGAGCAATTTACTTGGTTGTTCCTATTGTACATGCATGTCTACACACACAAGTATACATGGGTATACATGCACACACATATACCCATACATACACCTGCATGCATATACACACATATGCACATATATACGTACAGTGTGTGTATCAATGCATGGCAGCCCTTCCCAGGCACCTTAGGTGACACACTTTGCTAGTGATCTTTGTAGGAGAAGGAGGGCCATTTTCTGCTACTCAAACAGCATTTGGAACCAAAACATTTGCAAACCACTGGTTTAGGGGGCACGATCTGAACTCAGAGGTTCGCACACCAGGTAACCAAAGTTTGCGGTCCTCATTATTTCTGCTGTCTCTTCTTTCCCTAAAGGGCCTGGCACAGTTTCCTCTGCACCCATGGTCCTCTAGGCCCTGCTGACTAGGGCATTACCAGAGAGAGAAACAACTGGCTCCTGGCCCCAAAAACGTCCCAAAGGTGAATGAGCAATGTGGCACTTCGTAAAGCTTTATGGAATTGGGATAAATGCTTCTGGCTAGCGATTAGAAAACCTTATTCTACATGTACACACATGTGTGCATGTCCATGTGTGCCTGTGTGTGTGAGATCTGTGTGGGCTTGTTCTATACTGCCATAGAACACAAATTTATCTTCATAACAGAGTCAATTACATTCTCCCATTTCCCCACAAGTGAGGCAGCAAAAACAAATTTTGAGCTTCAACCTGCAGGAGAATGCCAGGGTCTCTGTGTTGAAAAGGAATTCTTCCTTCCCCCTGCCTTGCAGACATATGTTGCACAGACAAACACCTGGAAGGTGCTTCTTAATTCTTTGAGGTTTCTGCCTCTCACATGCAGCTGTCAAATCGCACCCGATCAACATGACACAGCAAATAACACTACGACATGCAACCGGCAACTTTTGAAAGTACACTCTCCCCACACCCAGCCCCCTCTGCCTTCTCCAGCGTGGGCTGCTGTCTTCAAACTAACCATCCTGCAACTGCTTAAAAGAGCCTGACAGGTAATTTATTCTGTGGCAGAGGATAGCAATTTCATTGTCCAGAGGCAAGAGATTCAACCGCATCAGAAAATTCGAACTCTCAAGGAACACAGGTTTAATATGATAACGATTCCAAGGGTGTGTGTTCATAATTCTTCCTGTTCTTTCCTCCCCTTCCCTAAAGCTGGTAGCAAATACTTTTGCACAGTTTATTTAAGGGCCCTCTAAAGAACTGTCATAAAATAAATCAAATATTTTACCAGGAAGGATGATTTTCAAACACTTATTTGTGTAAAGAGCCAACCAGATGGGTCAAGGCCTAGTTGCTGTTATGGGATCTTTGCCCATAAGTAAATGTTTTAAAAATTGCATCTGACTCTCTTTGAAGAAACCCTGCTGGGATCTATAAGGTTTCACTTGGGCACCTGGTAGAGAAGGGGATGTTGAGCAAAAACGGTTGATGGACAGGACAACACCTGCTTCTAGAAGCAAAGTCAAGACCGCTATGCATTTATTTTTGCAAAATATTGTGACAGTTATTCTCACATTGTATTTGCTAAAATCCATGCAAAGTAAGTAAGTAAGTAATTATTATTTCCATTTTACATATGAAGAAAGCCAAGGCTTAGGGTATTGAAGACTCGGCTTCCTCAAATATATATAGGAACAGTGGATCCTGGGTCCCTCCCATCGGTAAACCACAACTTTGCATGGCAAGTTCCCATCAGAAATAGAGCTAGAACTGAAGCCTCCTAACTTTCAGTCCCTGCCAGCTAGCCCCCGCCCCATGTGACTGCATCACACCTGCACTGCAACAAAAGGTAAATTCTATAGGTAGGTGATTTTTAAATCTGCCTTTGTCACACCGAAACTGTTATGAGATCATGGACAAGATGCTTCCCTCCATATATCCTAAATATATTCTATGTAAATTCTCACTGCATTGAATTAAGAATAACAACAAAATTCTCTTAAACCCCACTCATGTTCCCTAGCTAGGAGTACGTTGCTCTCCAAAGCATAGGGCATTGCCGATAGATCCCAAGGCTATAGGACCTAGCATTTCCATGTGCTCACTGCACTAAGCTCAGTTTTTTTAGGTAGTAATGAATGGAATTCTTTTTTAAGCCCTGCTTTTGGAGTCTATTTCATGCCTTTTTACATTTCATATTATATTTATATTTTTTTAAATCATGACTATACCACATTATAAAAACCTATTCAGTCAAATAATAATCCTATTCCTTGGCTGCCCGTCAGGGAAATGAAGGTTTCTCAAAGAGTGATTTGCCCAAGGCCAGCAAAGGCTGAATATCAGAGAAGGATGATCCCAAAGGTAGACCCAGCTTAATGAGGACAGACGTCTGTTGGGGCTTCATTTTGGAGAGGCCCTTCAGGGTAAGAAGTGACAACTGCTTTGTGAAGTGGCATGCCACCAACACTCACAAATCACATGCAAGAGTGACACTCCTGACCTCAAGTCACCAGCTGATCAGATTCAGGGGCAAGACAAGGGCACAGATCTTCTGAGGCTGAAAAACCATCTGTTCACCCCATCTGGGAGGAGCCCCAAGCCCTTAATGATCACATGTGGGCAGCTCCAGAGACCAAAAGAGGGGACAGATCCAGATCTGAAGGGGGCACAGAATGAGTTATCAGTCAGAAGCAAAGAGTGGGAGATGAAGGGAACATGCTGAGTGTCTATCGCCAGCCTGGATTCTCATGCCAGGGCCACAGAGGTCCTGATACCAGAAGCTGGGATGAGCTTGCAGGTTGTGTATGAAGTTACTGCTTGATGCCACCAAGCACTGAAACAGGCAAGTAAGAGGGGGAGCCTGTAAAGATGGAAATGCGGCATCTCCCAACCCCCATCCCACTTTCAGAAGTTTTAACAGATGTCCTTTCCACTTTTTTCTTGGGAATGCCTCAGGATTCTTAATTTTCTCGAATGGGCAACTTTCCCCACCACCTACGTGTTCTTTCTGGATTCCAATCTGCTGCTTCTCCGTGGGGTTCTTTCTGTTCTTTTTTTTCTCTTGCTGACCTTTGTCCTCCCAAATGTTATCACTCAGAGAAGTCCCCCTCCACAAACTTCCCCACTTCAGTGTGCTCTGCCCCCAGGCCCTGGGCTAAGCACCAGATGCGGAACACTGACCAAGATGAAAAACAGTCCCAGGCCAACCTGACTCACAGCGTCAGGCATTAAACAAGAAGCCTCACTGCTCCCATCAGCAACACCTTCTGGCCCCCGATTTTACTGTCTCTGTTGTTTACCTTGCCCTGATCTAACAGACTTAAAGGTATAGGTTGCTGGGGCTGGCAGGGCCTGAGAGGTCAAAGCCCTATTTGTGCCCAGGGCTGGCTGGCATTTGATGGGGTGGCACCGGTAGGGTCCCATTGGTTGCTTACAGTCAGCTCTGCTTACCCAGCCCAGTGCTGTAACAGCTTCCGTCTGAACACCCCTCCTGCTGGCTTCACCATGAAGGAGATCAACCAACCAAAGCCTGAGATCATGAGACAGCCATGCCCAGAGCCAGACCCCTCCATGCTTTTCCCACTTCTGGTGTCTTCAGGGCCCTAGCTCCCTCAGAGCTCTTGGGGAATGAAAAGTTTTGCCCAACTGAAGGATGTTCCTTTGCTGATGCTCGGAGGCTTCCCTTCCTTTTTGTGGCCTTGTTCCTACAACCAAGGCAAATCCAATCAGCAGTACCATCCTTGTTGCATCTTGTTCTCTTTGTGGGGGGCTTCCTGGCTTCTGGGCTGCTCTCCATCTGGTTCCAAAGTCCCAAGCCTTCAGAGAGAGCAGTCATACTGCCTGAAGTTTAAATCAACTGTGCAATTTGCTCTCTAGAACCCAGTTCTGCAGATACTCTGTATAGCCTTTCCTTCCTCCTCGCATATGAGAAACCCATGGTTTTGTGACTGTGATCTCTCTGCCCTCTCTTCCAGATATTTCTGGAGTCCATTTCCAGCTGCCAGCTAGCCCTTTGTCCACTTCCCGGCATGTGCTCAGTCAATACAATGAAGACGATGAGCCGACAGTGCACGTGGTGGCGACCGTGTTGCCCCGGATTGCTCTGGACTCCGTCTTCCTTCACACACTTCCCTCTTCATTACCCTCAGGTCTGAATCCTTTCTGTATCACATAGAAGTGAAAATATTCTCATGGAAGGATTCAGCAGGGAACATTTCCGAAGACCAACATGTGGCATCTCCAGGGTTCCCCTACATTTTCTAAATTGGAACTTCCCCCAATTTAAAACATTTCTGGCATAACTTCTTTTCAAAAACTGTGTGCTTCCATTCCAAGCAACACAATAAGAGGCCAATCCTATCAGTGAGCAGAGGAGGGCCTGGATTCCTTTGGCTCCTCCGCTGTCATTCAGCGCTAAAACAGTGGCCCACAAGGCCACACCCACTTCAGTGAACTGGGTGAGATCCCCCAGACTTTGTTCTTTCTCCCCAAATGCCTGGCTTACAAACTGAGCCTGATTGAAAACCTGGAGTCTGACGAACTTAAGAGCATTATCTTGCTGAATTTCAACTTTCGTTAATACCCTTTCCTAGAATCTGAAAGGCTTTTGTTTCGAAACTCTACCCTACACTTATTCCTGTCCTTCAAACTGGGGAGTTGAACCAGATAACTTTCTCATCTTTTTTTTTTTTTTTTTTTGAGACAGAGTTTCACTCTGTCACTAGGCGCCAGGCTGGAGTGCAGTGGCGTGATCGTGGCTCACTGCAACCTCTGCCTTCTAGGTTCAAGTGATTCTCCTGCCTCATCCTCCCGAGTAGCTGGGATTATAGGCATGTGCCACTGCACCCAGCTAATTTTTGTGCTTTTAGTAGTGATGGAGTTTCACCACGTTGGCCAGGCTGGTTTCGAACTCCTGACCTCAGGTGATCTACCCACCCTGGCCTCCCAAAGTGCTGGGATTACAGGAGTGAGCCACCACGCCTGACTGAAAGGAATTCCTTTCTTGACAAAGAAGACCCAGTTCTGTTCTTTGAGCATCCTGAACAGCAGGTGTCACCTAATGAACACGTAAAGGGACCTATGTTCCCATAACCCCAGGCAGCCTAATACACATCTGTGTTAAGGCATGTGTGGGTTGGCCTGGGAGGGTCTGCGGGTTTTGTGTGAAGCTGTGCCAAGCTGTAGGTGTGCAACCATGCACCCTCTCCACTTTCCCCACACCTGAGTGCTCCACTGGTCACCGTCAGTAGACCATGCATACAAAATCATTTTTCTGGAAGTGCAGGAGAAACTGAAAGCCAGCACTGTCAGGTTTGTTAAAAGGAATCCCCTTAAGATTTGGCTCTCATAAACTTCCTGGCTTAGCCAACCACATCTACCCTTCCACGTGCAGTTTAATACTCCCAGTCTGCCACCTGCGCCTCCTCTTATGTGATTTCTGGAGCAGATGCAAAGAGACTTGGCTGGGGCAACTCACATCCCACACCATCTTGGCTTTTGTCTCTTGGGTCTTCAAAGCCCTCTCCTCACAGCAGTCAAAGGGGGTGCCCCTGCCTTGGCATCCACCCAACTGACCATCATCAGTGCCCTGTGGATCTTCCCCCAAAAGCATCTCACGCCACACGTCTAGTTGCCTACCGCCATGGACTACAATAGATGAGAGACTTGTCCCCATGGTGTGAACCAGAATTTATTGCATCTGAGCAAATCATGGTCACACCTATGTAACTCGGACATTCAGTTCTAGACAGATAACGGCATTTTCATGCCAAAATTTTTTGAAAATTTCTTCAGTTGTAAAAAATATATATATTTACTTATATTTATATATAAATATAAATGTATTTACATAGAATATATATTTATATTATATATATTTATATAAAATATATTTATGAATACATAATTTTATATATATATTTGAAACCAGATCAGTTGAAACATTTCACTTCTCTGTACAGAAAAATAAAGGTGAGAAACACAAAAAAGCAGTCCCAGAGATGCCACTGACCCCTCCCTGTGGATGGAGGGCCAGGGTGGAATGGGACTGAAGGGTGCCAGGAAGCTCTTCTCTCTGGAGGCTCTGCTCAGCCCTCACTGTGTCCTCCCTCAGAGATTCTGGCTCCTGACACAGCCTCTCAGGTTCACATGACAAGGTGGGAAAATGAAGGCCAAAGTTAAAGAGCAAAAACTCCCAAGACCTTCTCGATGAAGGAGATCGTTTGCTGTGCCCTGAAAGTGGAGCTGATGTCTCCCTCGTGAGCTCTGCTCTGCTCAGCTCTGCTCCAGGCTAACACAAGCCCAGCAGCCCCAGTGGAGGAAGAGAAGGCCCGACATGGGGCAAAGCCAGCACAGCCAGATGTGGTCTTGGGCACAAGAGGTAGACTGACCCCCCAACCTCCCTGAGCTATACGTGGATAACAGTGCAAACCCCTTACAGTTGTTTGTGGTTAAGCGAAAAACTGCATGCAGCATCCTTAGACCAGAGGCTGCACTTCATTCCCATCAGTAAAAGTTAGGTAATATTAATAACAATGTATCAACAACAAATATCCTATTATACTTCTCTTTGCCACCTCATAGCCTGACAAGCTAGGCACAAGCACTATCACCATCCCATTATACAAGAGGGGATCCAGCCCCTGTGCCATTAACTATCTGCCCCAAGTCTCACTGCTAGAAGAGGAATTGAAAGGAGAATTTGAAAAGGGTGGAACTCATGGGTTCCATTGGAGGGGCCCAGAGAAGAAACCTGGTAAAGGTTTTAAATCGGCCCAGCTGCCCAGACAATGCATGAAATCTAACACCAATGCTCTCTCTTAGCATTTGAACTGCCTCCTTGAAGAGAAGGGCGAGGAAACTTAACTTTATGAACCAGACACTAAGATGCATCTTTTCAACAAGAAAATAGAGTAGCTGTTTCCCTATATCAAAAGCATCAACTATCCAGGTACCTATGTTACCTCATTCTATCCTCTCAAAAACCCTACGCTGTCTGTATTTCCGAGGTTCCATTTTACAGAGGAGAAAACAGAGGATCAACAAGCTAAGGTCATGAGTCCATGGCCATACAGTTAGTAAGCAGCAGATTTGGAATTCCAGCCTAGAGCTAGCTGGTCTTTGTCACCATTCCCCTTTCCAACAGGCCTGCAGCAGACACACACACCTTTGAATTCCTTGACAGGCCTATGCCCGGACCTTCCATCCTCCGTTCTTCTCCCCACCCACCCACATCCATAATGCGCATTTTCATTAGACATCTTTGCCCAGTGATCTGCTGATTTGTTATATTAGAATTGCAAACAAATGCTCTCATTCCATCCTCCTATCCCCTCTCCTGCCCTCCTGATATCTGAAATTCAGCATCGATTTTTCTGGCCCCGCTCCACTGCCTGACTGACATTTCTGGTTGATTTCCCCTCAGAGGCTTGCAGCCAGCTCACCAGGTTCCCACTAGAGCCCAAAATGGAATAGCACATCACCTGGATAAGCAGAACTAGACCTCATCCCCCTCCTTCCTACTCTCAGCACTCTCACTATGTCAAAACTCAGTGTCCTCTAGACTCTGTCCCCATTACCCGATTGATGGACACGCATACCTAAAGTCCTTCAAGATTCTCAAAGGGAAGGGGAGGAGGGGAAAACTTTGGAAAATGCCCTGGGAGGTGGGAACAGGTGAGTTTTGACCTAAGTACTGATGTTTTCAACCATAGCTGGGGTAACTGGACCGCTTGTGGAGGAGAAAGGGGATTATGAGGAAGACCAAATGGACTCAGAGATACAGATAGGAAGGGGACTGGGATACCACGTCGCAGAGGGCCCCTCATCTCTTAATCCATTAGAAGGCTTCATAGAATAACTTTTCTAAAATGGGACTTAATAATCCCCAGGGATCATCTAAGTCAGTCTTTTGTCCATGCCACACAGCACATCCTAGGAAAATGAGCTTCTCTCATAAGTTTAAGAACTCAGGCTGGGCGGAGTGGCTCACACCTGTAATTCCAACAATTTGGGAGGCCAAGGTAGATGGATGGCTTGAGCCCAGAAGTTTAAGACCAGCCAGGGCAACATGGTAAAACTCATCTCTACTAAAAAACAAACACACAAACACACACACACACAAAATAAGTTAGCCAGGCATGGCAACATGTGCCTGTAGTCTCAGCTACTTAGGAAGCTGAGGTAAGAGGATTGCTTAAACCCAGGAGACAGAGGTGGCAGTGAGCCAGGATCACAGCACTGCACTCCCCTCCAGCCTGGCCAACAGACTGAGATCTTAAAAAAATAAAATAAATAAAAAACAAAAACCCTCGAACAAATACAAATACATATAACCTCTCTCTCATCTTGTAGCTTCTGTCTCTGATAAGTAATAGGAGGTATATTTTCCTTTCAGAATTCCCCATTCCTGGTGGGTGCTGATCAGTGGGTGTCCAAGCTGGTATTTTATGGAAGCTGCCATCTTGTCAATGAGGGATAGGCCCAGTGTCTTGTCAAGTGGTCAGTGGTGACCAGCTCCACAAGGAGAACACTCACAGTGGTACACTAGAGTGGCCACTGCCAGCTCACAAGAGCCGATCGTTACATTTTTAGGAAAATTGTGATCTGGTTGTTACTATTGGTAGCTTGCGAACACCAGGATAGAAGTATTTACACCATAGAAGTTGGCATATGCTATAAATCAGGACTTCTTTTTTCTGTAGAGCCAAAAGTTTCATAAAGAGGGTGCCTAGTCATGGGGTCAACATAGATAGAGCCAAAGACATAGAAAGGATGGGGTGAGGAGGTCGAGGTAGAGGCAAGTCAGGGAACCCACATTCTTCAGTATCCTGGGAAAAGCAAACTAACAATTTCTTTTCCTTTTTTCCTTACCAGGCAACATCTTCTTCTCTCTGCTCTATATGTTATGTCTTCTCTAACAAAAGCAGTTATTGTTTCATGTTCTCAGACCTAAGGTGGAGAAAACTGAAGAGACAGAACTTCAGATCCTGTCATTTCTCAGAAGCCATGAGTCAGAGATGGAAGAACCAGCAAAGAGCTCTGAACCGTAGACTGAATTTCACACGTACATTTATACATGGCCCAGTTCTAACTGTCTCTAGATATTTCTTGGGTAGAACTATCTATACAAGACAACAGCTAACTGCAGAGCTCATCAAAATCAGGCATTGTGCCTTTCATTTCATATGCATCCATGGTTGTACCCGGTAAGACACTGATGTTACAAAAGGGAATAAAATGTTGGTTTATTAGTTGAATCACTTTAAATTGAATTGAATTGGTGGGAAAACAGTGGCTTATTATCAGATGTCAATATTTTTCAAATCCCTTTTCTAAGAGGTAAAGTTTAGCTGGCCAGCTGGCTAGCTAGCTAGACAGTCACTGATTAGGCATACACATGACCATATACGTTATCCTGAGCTCATAACACTGGCTCTACTCATTCCTGTACTGTCCAATTGACTGGCTTTGCTTCCTTCTCCAGAGTTCTCTTGGCTCCTGGCCTCTTACTCAAATCCATGTGGTTTGGGATTTTGTTTCTTAGTAAGCTGGCAACTTGGTCCCTGACAACATTCAGTTCTACACCTTGAACAACCCAAGTTAAAACAATCCAAAATCTAGTCAGGTCAAGGCAATGAAGCTGGTGCCACCATGTCCACATTCAGAGGTGGGCTCAGAAGCCAGAAGGAGTCGTGCCCTCCAAACCCCCACCTTGATCAGTGCTTCCCACTGCAGATGATCCAGGATCCATTCAGATCCTGGTCACACGGCACCAGCTCTACTCCCACAAAGGGCTGAGAGACAGAGGTATCTCATTTGGAAACCTGTCCTTTTCTGGGATCCTCTGTCACACGTGACTGCCTCCATTTGTCCTGCTTCTCTCTTTCCTGACAGCCTCACCCAGAAGCAGAGGCAAAGCTCCTGCAGTGCCCGTGGCCTGGACAAAAGCCCAGGTTTGCTGGGCTGAGGCCCTGCCTCTACAGAGAGTCCTGTCCTCCCCAACCTAGTAGCTGAAGTCCAGGCTACTTCCACATAAGTTGCCAGTGGGTGCTCACCTTGGGGGGAACCAAGACTTGTCTGAGAATCTTCTCAAAGATTTTGGAAAATGCTCACTCATCCATTGTTTTACAGACAACCTTACAGAGTTGAAAGGCTGTGACAGCTCCCTGGGAGACCTGGGCTAATGGACTCTGATAAAATGCCTCTCCCAGTCATGCTGTCCCTTTCCTTCCTGGACACCAGCTCCTGTTTTTCATTTCTCAAGTCCCCTCTGTCCTCCAGGAAGGAAGATGCCTGCTCTACAGGGCCCCTCCACATACACGTGATGCCCACAGAGGCTACACAACCCACTCAGGCTCACACAGAAGTTACTAGGAGAGACAGGATTGGAACATAGGTCCAGGAGGCTGTGGCTCTTTCTGGAATCTAATGCAGCCACATAGTGCTGTTTTTATGGATCTCAGAAGCAACCACTTCCAAACCCTGGCCCCTACTCCTCCTCAGCAGTGAAGGTGGTATGAAACTTCATAGGGGAAGTTGCAAAACAGGAGGGATCACTCCTCCAAGGAGGCAGGTGGGTCTTCGCACAGAGGTAGGCGGGCCATGCGATTAGCTCTGTGTCCTGGGCTGACGTCTTGAGAACCAATATTGTAAATGCCTCTGACACACCATTTCCACTGTTAATGAGAGAGCTCTAAGAGCCATTAATCTCATTACAGCTCTATCAGCAGCCAGTGATCATGTTCACTTCACTCCCCCTCCCCAGCTACTCAGTCACTCAGCCACTAAGGAGAGTGGACTGGGAAGGCCGGAAAGGCCAGGACCCTGCCCTCAACTGATGTCAGGGGTAGCATCAGTTCCGAATTCTTGGAGCAGAGGAACCTGCTCGGCCTGCTAAAGAACAATGGCCAAGGAGTCAGCCGAGTGCCCCCAGGGACTCCTATCCCCCTTAGTGGGCCTCTTCAGCTCTCTCCCCCAGATTCCATGAGTGGCCTGGACCTCCCTGAGCAGGTTAGAGGCCCAGGAGGCCCACATGGATGAATCAGTTCCTAATTCTCTCATTTTACAGTTCAAGTTCTCTACAGGGGCAAAATCTTTGACCCAAGGCTAAGGAGCCCAGGAAGATGATTCAAGCCAGAGAAAAATCCCAGGTCATCCTTTCTTCTGTAGCCACACCCTCACAGTGTAGATTATGCAAACCCAGAAGTCCTAGTTACTCACCAGGACCCAGCCACTTTTGTGAAAATGGCACTGCATTACCTCATGGAAGACCGTGTCTAAGGAAAGAGCATGAAGCCAGGTGCAGTAAGCCTAGACCACGAGGGACTCAGGGCCCACCATGCACAGCCAAGGCCTCATCCACACTGGTCCAGAAGTCCTCCCCTCATGAGTATCTCTTCTTAAGGAATGGCTGGGTTGTACTCCAATCCTTCTAGCTGAAGTCTGCACCCTGGTCCTCCTGTTCACTGCATCCTTGCCCTGAGGCCTCTTGAGGTTATCACAGGAAAAGGGTTGGGAGCAGCAGCAGCCATAGACTTCATGTCATTATCCCCTTTACCAACAAGAGCCAATGTGCTGAGCAGCTTAGTGGGTACTTGGGAAAGCACATCCATAAGGGCAGATGGGTCCAGTCCTTGGGAAGTTGGGGAAATAGGAATAAACAGAAGTCTGGTCCCAAGTCAAAATTCCAGCAAGAGCTTGCCTGCACTGATGTCCAGCAAGGAAAGGCTTTTTCCTTTGTGGGGTCTCCTGTACTCTTATTGACAGCCCTGCCTGATGGGCCCAGTGGATAAAGGGCAGTGAGCTGAGTTGTCAAGGAAACATCTCTGCACATACAGAGTCTTTCTAGAAGGAGGCAAGAGCTTGGTCCATGGACCCCACGGGATGCCAAGAAAAGAAGGCAGTGCCAGCCCCTGGAAGAGAGCAAGCTCACACTCGTAAGCTGCCCCAGTGGCCTGGGAGTGATTGACACAGGGACAGGTTGGGGCTGTGCGGGGGGCAGGGAGGAGGACAAGTTCGATGGTAGGCAGGTCCCTCCTAGACATGACAGTCAATGATTCCCACTTTTCTTAAGTCAATCAAACTTTTGCTCCCTTTATGCATCTGGAAGTTCTTCCCAAAAGGAGGCTCAAGGTATCAGATGCCAAAATATTACACCACACTCCCTGCCCTCCTCCTTCCCCAAGAGTCCTCTCCCATTTCACAAAGGGATGCTAGGAGGACTCACAAGAGTTTCTTGCCCTTTTCTTTTTTGCCTCAAGTCTGGCTTAGCCATGGGAGTCAGAGTGGAGGCAAGATGATGTTTTCTTCCCCTGCTTTGACCACAAGGATAATTCCAATGAAAATCAAAAGCCTGTATCTGTCATCATCTCCCCCAGCAAGGCATCCCAGCACCATGCAATTAATAGAAAGAGAAATCGTTCCAGCATGGAGAGATGGAAGAGACAGGAATAAAAGGCCAAGCTTCTGCCTCCCATGTTAGCATCCTGCCCATCAGGACACATGCCAAGTCACTCAGGCCTTCTCAACCCAGGAAGCCCGTGGCATGCCCATCTTTACCAAGTACATGTTAGCAGGGCTCAGAAGGCCAGGAAAAGAGGAATTAACATGGTCAACATAAGGAAAACAATAGTGGCCATGAGGTCTTGGGAAATCCAAAAACACATGGTACAGAGTGAGTTTCTCATCTCAAATCGCTCCTTGCAAGGCTCATTAGTGAGCACTCACACACTACAAGATATGGTCTGAAAAGTGTAAGGGTCCCGTTCCCAGCTCCCTGTGGGGGCTGATGCTCTACCCTCTCGCTTCTGTGGGGAGAGATGCAAAGAAAGGCAGCATGGGCATCTATTCACAAGCAACTCTCTCCCAACCCAGGCTCTCTGGTCCTCAAAGGGGAGAGGTGGGGTTGGATATGAGTGTCAGTGCAAGGGCTCAGAGAAACGGATCAGCTGCAAGACAGCTCCCAAGATGGTCAGAAATGCAAGTTCTAATTACATTCCTCCATTGGCTATGACCTTGGGTCACCACGCACCAGCAATTATTTACTCTGGCAAAGTGATTAGGGAATTGGGACCAGGGAATGGATATGTGTTGGGGTAGAGGCACCTGGGGGTTCCGAAGATGAGGATGGCTGTGGTAAAGATGCTCCTTCTGCATCTGCCTCCTAATTGGGGTCACTGCAGGCAACAGTTAAGGAGCATACACCACATTCTACTTTTTGGTCATGGGGAATTACGTAGAGGCCCAAAAATGACAAGAGAAGTGGAGGAAAAGGAATAAGAAGGATAAGGACCACAAAAAAAACCAGTTGCCCATGAACAGATGCAAATCCTGCGTCAATCAGGGAGAGGATGGAGGCCAGTCAAAAAACCTGACTTCTCTTCTTTCTGGGGGAAGGGGAGATCAGGCAGGCAGGAGAGCAGCAAAGATGGGAAAGGCTGGAGAGAAAGGTGACACAGGCCCTACATAGGGCCACAGTTCTCCAATCCTGGCCCTAAGACGAGCCACAGCTGCATCATTTGGCATTTGTGAGAAATACCACTTTTCGGATCCCACGCTAGCTCCATTGACTCAGAAACTGTAGGGGTGTGTTTTGACAAGCTCCCCAGGAGATCCCAATTCACATTCAGGTCTGAGAACAGCCCCTGGAAGAAAAAGGAACTCCAGTTTTCCATTGCATCCTCTGCCCACAATGAGTGTTTTTAAACGCTGTGTCCAAGTTCCCCTTCAAGACCTCATAGCACTTTTCAGTGACTGTAATAACCATTTGTATCCAGAGATGTGGTCTTTGATCCACCATCAGCAGAAAGGACACCTGAGTTCAGTTTATTGTGAAAGAGCAGAATGAAGTTTGCGCCATGTGCTGAGCACACCCTTGTCCCTGCTGTCTGGTGTCGGCAGACGTTTCCCCAGCAGCGCACTGGGTTCAGTGTGTCTGTCATCACCACACCTTCCTGTGTGGGAACAGCAGCAGCAACCATGCTGTCAATGAAAGTAAAGGGAGCAAGTAAGCTTTGAGCACCCACTGCGTGTCGGGCGCTGTCCTGAGCATGTGATAGACGTTCTCCGACTCAGTCCTCACAATACATGCCCCATCATTTAGACAAAACATGTTCAGAGGGCGGAAGCCATTTGATCAAGGCCACAGGACTCTTAAGTTTCATCTCAAAGTTCTTGTTCCTGCTACTGCATTGCCTTCCTCTTAAGAACAGCAACAAAGAACCTCTCT